GCAGATGCTCATAATTCTTAGACCCTGATATCAATGGGCTGCGGATTGTTCAACCCCGCTAAATGTTTTTGCTCAGAATCCAATGTGGATGAATGAGTAGTTTCTACTCTCCCCTCTTCGAAAGACACGGGAACCAGAGCTCAGAGAGGTTAAGGCCTCTGGCCAAAGTCACACAGCTCAAAACACCAAGCTACAAGTCCCACCCAGGCGTGTCCTATGCTCAGCCCGAGCCTTAACCACTCTGCAGACCAGCCTTGCCCCTGAAGGAGGGAGCAGGGCAAGAAGCACCTGCCAGGAGTCACAAAGTCCTAAATCAGATTTTTAAAAACCAGAGAAAAGCAGAAGAAAGCACCGTGGGCCACTCACCTCTGTGCCCCTCTCCCGGTGTGCGGGGTGTGTCTGCCTGCCCTGTCGCCCACGCGTCCCCTGTTTTGTTTCCTCCTTTTCTTTTTCCTTCCCTTTTAACTAATCACTCAGTTAACAAGTCAGCTCTCTGAAGCGCGGGTCGCTACCTAGTGACTCCGTGCACACGATAAAGAAATCAAGCGTCACCAATACAGAAGTCAGAGGGGTTTAAATCAAATCTTCCTCCACAACAATGACATTAATTATGCTTTTAACACGTTTTACTGCTTTTTTTCTCACTTCACGCCACATCTGTGTGAACAATATCCAAAAGATTTACGGTTTTCTTTCGTAATTACAGACATACAGGCTGCACACTTATCAAAATACTTGCTGAGCAATCAGGCTCTATCACAGGCTCTGCCAAAGATTTGTGCTGGCAGCAGTCATTCAAAACAAAAATGTTGAATCAGGACTTGTGTGCGGCTTGGGGGAGGGGGAGCATTTCGACAAATAATTCGCCTGTCAAGACGTATAAAAACAGGAGTGTGCGCCCGGCTCCTTTTCCAGGGTGGGATTTTTATGGAGGGGGCCGGGCGCTGCGGTGGGGGGCAGCGGGCGGGGAAGCTCAGAGCGCCAAAAACGCATCTGACATTTGGTTCTTGTGTCTGAGGATAAAATTTAATGAGAACAAAAATATGTCTTCCTAATTCCCCTAAGAAACCATTAAAACATTTTGTTATTCTTAAATGTCTCGAAAATGAATTAGAGCCCCTGAAGGGGCTGTTTGTATGGTACGTCTCCATCAGTTAAGGCTGCTCATTCTGCAGCTCCGTGACAGCGGGGACGTCCCCCACCGCCCCTCCAATTCTGGGGAGGAGAGCTGGGAAATCAGAGGCACATGGAGTCAGCACTGGGCTCCGAGTGACCTCTGCGTCCCCAGGCTGTGGGGAGGGGGCGAGAGAGTGCACGGGCCTTCTGGAAAGCTCCTCACAGTCTTGGGGACTTGGGGCCCTTGGCTGGTCCTGTGTCTGTGCTAATAGCCGGATACCCAGAGAGGCGAGTGTCCCACAGTGAGCCCTGGAGAAGCAGCTTTGTGGGGTGGTAGCCCTCGCCCACTGGTCCCCGCCTGTCTGCTCCTCTGCTCCCAAGCTCCAGCCCCCTAACACGCCCCAGTTTGCGACTGCAGCTTATCTGAGTGATCATCTGGCTACTTCTGCCACCAGAAAGCAAGCTTCTGAGGGCCGGGTCCACGCCTGTGTCTGTGGGTTCCCAGCTATGCTCCCCGTGTCCAGCAAATGCTGGGCATACAGCAGACACTCAGTAAATGCTTGAAATCAGCAGACACTCAGTAAATGCTTGCAATCCTTCTGTTGTTTGATGACCACAGAACTCTAGTTGAAAAAGCACCTCTTTGCCCCAATAACTCTTCCTTCCCTCCCACTGCCTAGTCTTCTAATTCATTCAATAATCATTAGGTGCACTCTATATATAGGTTTAATATGGCCTAATCTGGGTATATAGGTTTAGTATGGCCTGATCCCGGGCTTGGAGTACTCCCTGTCTCCTAGACAAGCCAGACGTACATGATAATAACGTGAGTAGCATAGTATGCACCAACTGTGTGCCATGCACCTTGAAGCTTCCTGACAACCACATGAGGCATGTTGGCATATTTAGTCCCAGTGTGTGCAAGGGGAGTCGGAGGCTCTGGAAGGAGGATGGATCCATCTGCAGGCAGGCATGGGCGAGGGAGGTGTGTGGGGCCTGCAGCACTTGAAGCTGGGTCTGGCCCTAGGGTGGATGGACTGGCCCGCCTCAGTGCAGCTCCTGGAGTGGGTAAGGCACTGTAGGGCCCATGGGCGAGCTCTGGGTGGGGGCCCTCTGGCTCCTGCATCACCTTTCAATGTCACTTGTCAACAAGACTGTCAGATCCAAAGGATTGAAAGGGGTGGGACATAAGGTACATTTTTCCAGATCCCACCTATGGGAGTGGGGAAATCAGTACAAAGGCGGCAATTGGTACTGCTGGCTACGTGGGTGTTGTGTCCCCACTGTGGGTAATGAGCTGGGCTGCAGACACATGCCACGTCTCCTCAGGGAACACAAAGCCCATGGCACTGCGAGTGCAGATCTGGGTGGAGCCGGGGACCTGGCAATAGATGCCTGATCAGGGGGCTCAATAGGCCCCAAAAGATGCATCTGTTGTCCTGAGCCCCAAACCCGCAATTGTGACTTCATCTGATGGTGTCTTTGCAGATGTAACTGAGGATGTCGCCATGAAACCGTCTGGATCATCCAGATGGGCCCTGAGTACAACGACAAGCGTCCTTACAAGAGAAAGCGGAGAGCCGAGACAGAGAAGCAGAGAGGCCACGTGGCACCAGAGGCAAAGGCTGGAGTGATGAGGTCACAAGCCAAGGGATGCCAGGGGCCACCAGAAGCTGGGGAGGCAGGAAGGATCCCCTACAGCCTCAGAACAAGCGAGACCCTGCCGACATGGCCCTGGCCTCCTCCTTGAGAGAAATACCTGCCACCACTATGGTTATGGCACCAGAGCAGCTGTGAGAACCCAACGTGGACTTGCACGCTGCTGCAGGTTGCAGCATGGGACAGGCTCTGTTAGTATTTGTTGATTGTGCCGAGCCCCGAGTCCTGCCTCTCTGTGCCATGAGAAAGGGACCCACATGAGCCTGTCCACATGCAGAGTTGGAAGGTGTAGCTCCTCTATCAGGACACAACTGCAACATGCTCACAGATCTGCCACAGAGCTGCCTAGAAGGCAGAGTGATGCAGTGGGCCCGAGAAGACCCGATCTTAACTAGCTCACAGGAGAGGCCAAGACTGCTGGTCTGTGGGCCACGCTTTGAGTAGCCACATGCTGGAGGACTTTCCTCTTTGTCCAGCCTGGGAGCTCCTGGTGGGCAAGGTTCCGCAACCCCGCTGAATGGGTCTCCTGGTGCTGTGGTAATAAAGCACCACCAAGCACCGGGAGTGGGGTGTATGAACAACAGAAATTGATTCTCCTACTTTTGGGGGCTACAAGCTCAAAGTCAAGATGTTGGCAGGGCTGTGCTCCTGGCTGCCGTGGCCTGTGGCACTCCTTGTCTTGCAGCTGCATCCTCCCATTTCTCTCTGCCTCTGTCCCCACAGGCCTTCTTGAGCGAGGGTCCTTGTGTCCTTCCTGTACTGATAAGAACCTCAGTTGATGGGTTTAGGACTCCCCTAAATCCAGGATGATCTTATTTTGAGATGCTTAACCAATTACATTTGCAAAGACCTTATTTTCAAAAAACAAGCTACAATCTGAGGTTCTTGGTTGACAACAATCTTGGGGGCCCCCTGCCAACACGGCCCCACCTCCCTCCACCACTGCCCAGTACTCCCCCTATTATTCAACCCACTATAATTGCCCAAGACAGACCAACAGGGACTTTCCACCCCAAATGCAAAGACCCCACAAATGACCTCAACATCCAACAGGACAGCTCTGTCCTTTCACAGCCTGGGCCTCACGGTCACACAGCTCAGGCAGGATCTCGTTTTCCTCCTCACGGACCCCGACCCCAAATCCTAACAGCACTGATTCCTGCAGCGGCATGGACGCCTGAAAGGGCAGGGGCTGGGGGGCCGGCACTGCTGAGCAAAGCAAGCAGCCGTTCTGGGCTTCTATTTCTGTGTCAGTAGAAGGGAATGTGGCGAGGAAAGAGGACTTCACATCCCTGGACATACGTCTATGTCCAAAATGTGCAACTGAGTTCTCCAAACTGATCTCTCTGTCACCAGACCAAGAAACAGCACCCAGCCCGCAGAGGCCCTGCCAGGGACATCGCCTCCCCAAGGACAGCCACTATCTGGCTTTCCAACAGCACAAGTTGATTTTTTTCCCAATTGAGGTAACATTCACTTGACACAGAAGTCGTCATTTCAACGTGAACCCTTCAGTGGCATCTGCATGATCACCAAGTCCTGCGACCCCACCTGCCTTTAGTTCCAGAACATTCTTATCTTCCCCAGAAGGAAAGTCCATACGCATGCAGTGGTGGCTCCCCATTGCCCTGCCCATCTGCTCCTGGCAACCGCCAAACTGCTTCTATCTCTGGATGTGGCTTTCCTGGACATGCCCTGCTAATGGCATCACATGACTCGTGGCCTCCCGTGCCTGGCTCTCTCACTCAGCATCAGGCTGTAGCACGTCAGAGGTCACTCCTCTTCACGGCTAGATAATGTTCCACCGTGTGGACGGACACCTTTTCAAAACCCATTTATCCGTTGAGGGACACGGGGCTCTTCTCCCTTCTGGCCACCGTGAGCAGTGTCGACAGAGTTCATGTTGCCTGCGTGTGTGTTTTCTCTAAATGGAACCATTCGGTCTGTGCTCTTGGGGTCTGTCTGTCCTTCAGCATCAAGGTTTTGAGGTGGCCGTGACATTCTGGGGAAAGGTTGAGCCTCCTGTGGCCCCTCCTGGCAGAGAGGGTTGGAGCCTTCTGTTTTCTGTAGCCCAGGGTGGGGGGTTCTAATGTGCAGACACCCAGCTCCCCAGGAAGGCCCCCCAGAGGGCCTGTCCCCAGATCCCACCGCCAGGAGACATGGTGCCATGTCCTCATGACAGTTACTCTGTAATTATTCAATTACGGAGACCAAGTGTTTCTTACCTGGTGCTTCAACTAATTGCTTGTAAACACTCAGAAAAGCCGCCTCTGCCTCCTGGCTTCTCTTACTAAGGGCCACCACCTTTGGAAACAAAAGAAAGAGTTACATGTAACCATGGTACCTGGGTCTGGAAGAAATGTGGTCATTTTCTATCTGGACAAACTTGGGAGGGGGTAGACAAGATGAAGACTCCAAGTGTGGGCTCTGAAGTTAGGAAATCTGGGTTCTGGCCCAGCCAGTGTCCAGGCTGTGTGACTCTGAGCAAGTCATTGCCCCTCTCTGATCCTCAGTTTACTGGTCTGTAAAATGAGGAGCAAATAATAGGACCTAACTCCTAGGTTAGGTGAAGCTGCCTAAGAGCACCGAACATAGGTTATTCACAGTCATTACTCATATTTTTGTTATAAAAGAGCAATACCAGAAGTTCAAATACAACATATGTTTTTGGAAAAAATTGGGACATACCTTGGAAATATTTATAACTATTGAAAATTAGAGAGAAACTGTTAAAATTCTTGAAAGATAGGTGAATGGTGTCCAGCACACTGAAAGTGCTCAATCATTGCTGACTGAATGGATAACGGAGAGTGGGTAATCCCAGGAAGAGCCCCGTCCACACCATCATTCTCTTGCTCTGGGATTTCTCTCCTTCAAGGAGACTTCATGAGATGTTTTGGGCAAGACAGACGTTATCCTGAAAAGTGTGGACACATGACTCTTGAATGGCCTGGTGGCCACTGACCTAGGGCTTGGCACCATCTCATATCTTCTCCTTAAAGTGTGCTCTGAGCACACAGGAGGTGTTCAACTTTATTTATTTACTGTGGTACCAGAGATTGAACTCAGGGGTACTCAACCACTGAGCCACATCCCCAGCCCTATTTTGTATTTTATTAGAGTCAGGGTCTCACTGAATGGCTTAAGATCTCACTAAGTTGCTGAGGCTGGCCTTGAACTCGTGATCCTCCTGCCGAAGCCTCCACAGCTGCTGGGATTACATAATTTATTGAACAAGGGAATCAAGTGGGTTGCCTCCAACTTCTAGGTCCTAACCATGACACCATCCTGGGTCTCCCAATGGTAGGGGACCATTCATTGAGAAAAGTGACTGACCAAGGACAGGCCCTGGAGCTGGGCAGGCCAGGTCCAAATCCCAGTTTCTCTGTTGACTTGCTGTGTGTCCTGGGACAGAAAAGTCACTTAAGACCCTGTGCCTCTATCTCTCCATTTGTAAAACGGGGACGACAATACAATAATCTTCCACAAAGGGGTGCTGAGAGCATCCCATGACCTAAAACACATGAAGTCCCGTGGAGCACTCCTGGCACCCATGAGGCCCCTTGACATTATTTTCAGTTGTGTCCAAGACCTTCCTTCCCGCCAGGAAGAGTGCCCGGTTCTGTCTAGTGCCACATGCTGACCTGAGCTGTGCTCTTCTCTGGTGCCTTACAGAGGCCACCAGAGGAAGGCTCCACCCCACAGCAGTGTACTCTGGGAAAAAGAATTTGATCTATGGTGGTTCAGTGTGGCTACTAAACACTTGAAACATGGTGTATCCAAATCAAGATGTATGGTGTGACGTACACACAGGATGTTGAAGTTACAGTAAAAACAAATAATAGCTCAACATTTAAAAAATTTTTTAAAAAATTTGCTGTACAGGGGGATTGGACTCAGGTGTCCTCCCCTACTGAACTATAACTTGGGGCCCTTTTCTTATTTTTTGAGATAGTGTCTTGCCAAGTTGCTGGGATTATTGGTGTGTGCCACTGCACCGGGCCCTCAACGTTGTTTTAAATACTGATTATATATTAAAGTGCTAACAGGTAATAACTTTCTCCTTTTAAAAAATATGGCTTCTAGAAAATACAAAATTGCATCTGTCACATTGTATTTCTATTGGTTTGCAGATTTTACAAGGCCCATGTAGAAGTAGTTAATTAAGACGGGGAGAGAGAAATATGGCTGATGCTGAACAAGTGATTAAAAGAGACCAGTTACCAAAGTTCTCTCCCACTGCTCCTCCCTGACTTTCCAGAGTGAGAGATAGCTCCGCACTCCCTAAGAGATGCTTCCTGAGGGCCTGCCATGCGCCCAGCACTCTGGGCTGGACCAGCCATGGAAGATGCAGGCTCGGGCCCCTCTCCATGGCCGACATTAAGGCAAATTCCCCAGACGACTCATTAATTACAAGTGCTACATGCTTGGAAGGAGAAATGCACGGGTGCCTGCAGAGGGCGTGGGTCGGGGGAGGCTGACCCACTTTGATGTGGAACATAAGGAATCATCTCCCCAGAAGAGAAAGGGCAAAAAGAATGTTCTAGAATCAAGGCAAAGGGAAAAATCACAAATGCAGGCAGATTTTTGTTCTTGCTGAGATGGGACAAGATGCAGTTCTGGCCCTGGGGTCTCACCACTGCGGGGGAGACTCAGCTACGAGGAACCACACAATGTGGGAGGAGGTGTAAGCGTGTGCTGGGGTCTCCTGGCAGCTGGGGGGCAAGGAATACAGAGGCTGGGGGCACCCTTGGGGGCTAACAATGGCGCTTTGCGTGTACCACGCACCAGGTGTGCTTTCTGTTCCTGATCTTCTATCTGTGTGGACACACCAACCGTGAACTGAGGCTCCCATTATCCCCAGTGTATGGATGTGGAAACCAAGGCTCAGTGACAGTAAGTTTCTTGCCCCAAGGTCACCCAGTTAACAAATGGCAAGTCCAGGATTTACACCAGCTCTTGGGGATTTGAATTGCTGTTCTGAATTTAGACACCAGCCCCCTCGGCCAGGGGTGGCCGAGGCACTAGGTCCTGCACCTCATTGCCTCACAGGTCCTCGAGGCTGCGGGAGGTTAGAGGCCCGCAGTGGCCTCATGGTGGCGGATGGGGTTTGGGGAAGGCACAGGCGGTTCCCTCGACTTCTAAAATGGAACTCCTGAGCGCTGGAGGAGTCCAGGCCCTGCCCACTGCCCCTGCTACTTTCCCTGCATAGTGTAGAATGTGGGTTTATCTCTGTGACTGTCTCCTTATGACGCCCATGTTCCCATGAGAGCTAAGTGTCTAATACTACAGCCACATGCTACTGATCACCTGAAATGCAAATCTTCCAAACTAAGGTGAGCTGTAAGCCTAAAACACACACACACACACACACACACACACACACACACACACACACACGTGAAAGATCCCAGTGATCATTTTATATTGATCACACATTGGAATAACAATATTATGGACAGATTAGACTAAATAAAAGATATTATTAAAACTAAATTCACCTGCTTCTTACTTTAAAAAACGTAGCTACTAGAAAAATTTAAATTACCTAGGTGGCTGGCTATGTACCTGGGTAATTGGGAATTGAACCTAGGGCTGCTCTAGTTGACACACATGCCCAGTTCTTTTCACCTTTCATTTTGAGTCAGGGTCTCACTAAGTTGCCCAGACTGGACTTGAACTTGCACTCCTGCCCTAGCCTCCTGAGTTGCTTACAGTTTATTTCTACTGGACAATGAATACATAGGCCAAGGGTTGGCAAACTCAAATCTGGTCCTTCATCTATTTGTGCAAATAAAGTTTTATTGGAAAACAGTCATAGCCATTCATTTCTGTATTTACTACGGCTGCTTTTATGCTCCGGGCAGAGTTCTGGACTGTGACAGAGACCCCGTGACCTGCAAAGCTTAAAATATTGACTCTCTGGCCCCTTACAGAGATATGCTTGCTAACCTGTACTTCAGAACTGCATCTATAGCTGGATGATGTTTTCAAAAGCAGAGATCAAGAGGCAGCCGGAACGGCCCTCGGTTAGAGTCAGTGCACATTAGCACATCCTGCCGTAAGTGTGGCTCTCCAGGACTCTATTTGGCTGTCCTGTTTCACTTGATCTTGTTTAAGGATAACGACTCTGTCCATTTCTAGAAGACGGGGCCATTAAATTCTGGATTCTAGAGAGTGACCCAGATTCAGGCTAATGTTACTAAGCATCACGTGGCCTCAGTCTGTTGGTCCATCAAGTGGGTAGAATAATCCCCACCTGGATAAGAAGGTATTTGTGCAGAAAGACCCCCAGTTCTGCCATGGAAGCTGGTGGAAAGCTTCCTAATGTGTCTGCCACTCTTCTAACCACGCAGGATGGCTTTTTCAAGGGCTGCCACTCCATGCTGCACCCACGTGCCCAGGACAGGGCTGCCTCATGGCACAGAAGGGCAGAGTGTCTGGAATGACAGAGTTGGCTTGGGAAAGATCCTGAAGGACATCTGGGGGAGGGGGAGAAGGCAGTGGCAGGGGCCAGCCTCAGAAGGTCACCATCAGGAACAGCACAGCATCTGCGTGGCACTGACCTGGCCCCTGTGCTGTGTGGGTGGTGTGTGTGTGGTCCCTGAGTAGGGACAGGGCAGGTGCAGAGGTGATGAAGCCGGAGAGACACAGCCTGCCCTAGCTGCCAGGCTTTCGTCTCTCAGGAGCTTAAACAACCAACATATTCAGGGGCCCACAGGCTGAGCTTCTGTGAGAAGGCGCTGCACGTGCCGAGGTGGCAGCTTGCGGCATGAAGTCTGGAGACCACGGCCCTCTCTGCACTCAGCACTCTATCCCTAGAATCCCTCCTCGCCTCTCAGATGGGGAACTGCTGCTGCCCCATTCCACAGAGGACAAAGCAGAGGCTCAGGGAGGCTTGGTGGCCGAGATGAGGGAACCAGTTAGCTGCAGAGGTACCAGTGCCCAGATGCCCCTCGTTCCAGGCCCTGGACTTACACCCACAGTGCTTCTCCAAGTGTGTCAGTCCTGTGGCACGAACAGGGGCCTGCGGTGGAGAATGCACGCCCCTGTGGGCACGCACCAAACAGCAGTACCCTGGATGCTCTGGTCCAACCAGAAAAACTCCTCTTCAGCTCCATTTAACCCAGCGTTTGCCCAAATATATTTGGCCCCAGCATTCTTCAGGGAATGACTCTGGAAACTAGGGTTTCATGGAGCACACTTTGAGAACAGCTTGCCAGCTATGACTGGGTTGGGGCTGGCAGGGAGGGGYTGGAGGTTCTGGGATGGGTTGGGGTCTGGGATGGCGGGAATTCTGGAAG